AGACCCGAACATTTTAGCTAGCCATAAAGGAGAAGTTACTCCAACTAGATATCTATTTCTTTTTTATTGTTATAAACTCAATAAAAATCTAATAGACTTTATCTAAATTCAGTCAAACTACTCACCTCCAGTTACAGAAGGAAAAAATGCTCACCGAATGCTCTAATGGGCAAGATGATGAAAAATACCCCAGAAGGCCGGGACCTGTTTGGCTCAGTGGATAGAGCGTCGGCCTGCGGACTGAAAGGTCCCGGGTTCGATTCCGGTCAAGGGCATGTACCGTGGTTGTAGAGAGTGTGCAAGAGGGGGTGTGCAAGAGGCAGCTGATCAATGATTCTCTCTCATCGATGTTTCTAACTCTCTATCCCTCTCTCTTCCTCTCTGTGAAAAATCAATAAAATATATTTTTTTAAAAGAAAAGAAAAATACCCCAGAAGTATTATTGATCCTTTTCTTTTAACATCCTGGAAGGTGATTTTTTTGTATGATTTTAATGATTCTTCAAAAATGTGTACAAAAAAAAAAAAAAAACCATTGCAATTCACTGACGGCTGACTGCAATTCACTAACTCCTGGTCTGTATACATTTTGACACTTAGTCTCATCATGCATTACCGCTATTTTTCCAAGGAAACTCACGGGTGCCCACACCTAGAAAGCAGTCAGTACAGGCTCTGGTCTTAGTCTCTGGCCCCCTGTGCTGTCTTTCTCCAGCTTGGAAAGAGATTCTTCATCTGATCAGAAGTTTGTATACCTGTTTGAGTTTATCTCTGCAAGAGTCTCGAGATCTCACATTTATGTCTAACAGACAACCCACACCTATTTTTTTTTTTTTTTACAACCCACACCTATTGTTTACTATGGAGAATAGGTAGAATGAGCCGGGAACTAACTGTACGAATGTATCATGTGTTCACAATTGGGCAGAAATGCAGGGTGTTTTGTTGTTTTTTTCTTTTCATATATATATATATATATATATATATATATATATATATATATAGAGAGAGAGAGAGAGAGAGAGAGAGAGAGAGAGAGAGAGAGATAGATTTTTTTTTTTTTTTTTTTTACAGAGAGGAAGGAAGAGGGATAGAGACCTAGAAACGTCAGATGAGAGAGAAACATGGATCAGCTGCCTCCTGCACCCCCCCCCCCCCACTGGGGATGTGCCCGCAACCAAGGTCCATGCCCTTGACCGGAATCAAACCTGGAACCCTTCAGTCCGCAGGCTGACGCTCTGTCCACTGAGCCAGAGCAGTTAGGGCAGAAATGCAGTTCTGAACCCTCATGGTCCTATCATTAGGTCACCAGATTTCTTTCCAAAAATCGGGACTGTTTTAAAACGCCTCGGGACGTGGGACAAATGGTTAAAAATCCGGACTGTCCCGCCAAAAGCGGGACATCTGGTCGCCTTATCCTACAGGCTCGAAAATAACGTTATCGTCTACAAAGAATGTCACCAAAGCACCGTCAGAGTACAGAGCGTCCGACATAAAGTATTCCCTTTTGCCGAAACGGGTGTGGCTCAGTGGATAGAGCGTCGGTCTGCGGACTGAAAGGTCCCACGTTCAATTCCGGTCAAGGGCATGTACCTTGGTTGCGGGCACATCCCCGGTAGAGGGTGTGCAAGAGGAAGCTGGTCGATGTTTCTCTCTCATCGGCATTTCTAGTTCTCTCTCTCTCTCCCTTCCTCTCTGTAAGAAAAATCAATAAAATATATTAAAAATAAAAAAAAAAGTATTCCCTTTTCACCATGGAAACTTTGGGGCTTATGGGTAGACGTTAGATCATTTGGGGGAAAGAGATTGGATGCTCGTTTCAGCTGATTATATAAAAAAAGGGGATGATGGATAAGTGGGTGTGTGTTTTGTTTTTTGTTTTTTTCATCAACATCTGTTTCCTATGCGTCGTGCCGTCATAGTTGCTTAGTGTACAATTCGGGCGAGATCGGGGCTGTTTTTAGCAACGCCAGCCCATCAATGGAGGGGAGAGCTGAATGCCGTTCTGATTTTGCTTGCTTGCTTGGCTGTCCCAGGAGGCTTTGCGCCTGGGGATGACTCACGTGGCATTGTAGCTCCAGGACGAGGCCCACCGCTCCGTCCTTTCATCGGGAGCGGCTCCTATTTTAGGGCCAGCGGCCGCCTGCGAACTCAGTCATCCAACAGCTGTGAAATCCTGGCGGCGTGGGGTTTTCTACTTCCTCTCCCGGAAAACTAGGAAAAGGGTCATGTGAAATGATTTTATACATTTTTTTTTAATTTTTACAAGAAATAAAATATGGGCATTTAGCCTAAACCGGCTTGGCTCGGTAGATAGAGCGTCGGCCTGCGGACTGAAAGGTCCCGGGTTCGATTCCGGTCAAAGGCATGTGCCTTGGTTGCGGGCACATCCCCAGTGGGGAGGTGTATGCAGGAGGAGCTGATCGATGCTTCTCTCTCATCGATGTTTCTGGCTCTCTATCCCTCTCCCTTCCTCTCTGTAAAAAATCAATAAAATATATTATATATATATATATATATATATATATATATATACACACACACACACATACATATATGGGAATTTATTGTGCAGCGAAAATTCAGAGATCTTATTGGCATATTTTATTTTTTAATATGTTTTATGATTTTTTTTTTTTTACAGAGAGGAAGGGAGAGGGATAAAGAGTTAGAAACATCGATGAGAGAGAAACATCCATCAGCTGCCTCCTGTACACCCCCCACTGGGGATGTGCCCGCAACCAAGGTCCATGCCCTTGACCGGAATCAAACCCAGGACCTTTCAGTCCGCAGGCCGACGCTCCATCCACTGAGCCACACCAGCCAGGGCTCATCAGTTAATTTTGTTCCTTGGAGTCCACATATAAGTGAGATCACGTGACAGCATCTTCAATGAACCATTTGTGGTCCTCCATCCCAAAGCACAGTCTTTTAGATTTTTTCAGAGCATTGAAAACCTAACAGTTAACCCTTCCGTCATGAGGCAGCAGCTGGACCTGTCCAGAGGCATGGGCAGAGCGCTTCCTGACTATCGAAAAAGAACAGCTTTGGCCGAAGCCGGTTTGGCTCAGTGGATAGAGCGTTGGCCTGTGGACTGAAGGGTCCCAAGTTCGATTCCGGTCAAGGGCATGTACCTTGGTTGCAGGCACATCCCCAGTAGGAGATGTGCAGGAGGCAGTTGATTGACGATTCTTTCTCATTGATGTTTCTAACTCTCTATCCCTTCCTCCCTTCCTCTCTGTGAAAAAATCAATGAAATATATATATATTATTTTTTTAAAAGAAGAAGAACGGCTTTGCATGCGTTTTTTTTTTACTTGGATTGCCACATCTCAGAAGTTCTAATCACCAAAGGGTTTATTCTTCGTGGTGGTGCAGGTGCAGAATAGCCAGGAGGCCCGGTGGCCTGCGTGTCCGAGGGAGGGCAGCCGTGGCGGCATTCCGGAGGCAGCAGCCGCCACCCTGCCCAGCACCCTTCCCTCCCTCTGTGGTCAAGCGGAATAACTCGGTGCAAGGAGGCAGCCGGGCACTTTTCAAAGCAAGCTTCTCCTTTTGAAAGGGAATGCCGTTCCGGTGCCGACGACCTGGAATGTTCTGTTCGCAACACGAGCAGCGGCACCATATTAGGGCACGTCTCCCCTCCTGGCAGCTTGGCATGAGCAGCCGGGGCAGACAAGTCAGATTCTTCTCGCTGTGCAAGTCCGAACGCATCTCACCCCCTCGCAGGACACATTAGCCTGCGGAGGGTTTGCTGACCGGAAGGACGAACGGACGGACAGCGTGGCTGAACTGAGCCGAGAACCTGATCACCACCTTGGGACTCCCGGCTGGCCTTGGCCTTGGCCTCTGCCTGTGGGTAGGCTGTTCTGCAAGTCTGCTCCGCCACCTAGTGGCGTGCTCCGGTCTTGCTCTGACGAACGTCGCTCCTGTTGGCTAGCTATTCACAGTAGGAATGAATGAGAGCAACCCTTAGCAAAGCATCAAGTTCCAAGAGAGACCCCAACACAAGTCCCTTTAACTCTTACCATGCGCAGCAGCATGGATGGGCCTGGAGGGCATGACGCTAAGCGAAATAAGCCAGTCGGAGAGAGATACGTATCACGTGATCTCAGTCATTTGTGGATTATAATGAACAACATAACCAGTTGGGCTCAGTGGATAGAGTGACGACCTGCCCACTCAAGGGTCCCATTTTACAAGAGAGGAAGGGAGAGGGATAGAGAGCTAGAAACATCCATGAGAGAGAAACATTGATCCGCTGCCTCCTGCACACACACACTCTCACTGGGAATGTGCCCACGACCAAGGTACATGCCCTTGACTGGAATCGAACCCGGACTTTCAATCCACAGGCCAATGCTCTATCCACTGAGCCAAATCGGTTTCGGCAGAAGTTTAATTTTTTAAAAATGTGGCTCTCCAAAGAAATGTCAATCGTTGTACTGTTGATATTTGGCTCTGTGGACTCATGAGTTTGCCGACCACTGAGCTAGACCCCTGCCCCATTCCATTCCCACCCGACTCCCCTCTTCCCTCACACAGGCTGTATTCCTTCTGGGACCACTTGTAAGGGGCGAGGATCAGAAGGCTTATAGGGCCGAAACCGGTGTGGCTGGGTGGATAGAGCGTCGGCCTGCGGACTGAAAGGTCCCAGGTTCGATTCCGGTCAAGGGCATGTACCTTGGTTGCGGGCACATCCCCGGTGGAGGGTGTGCAGGAGGCGGCTGATCAATGTTTCTCCTTGATGAGTCTAACTCTCTATCCCTCTCTCTTCCTCTCTGTAAAAAAAATCAATAAAAATATATTTTTTAAAAATGAAAAAAAAAATGTTAAAAGAAAAACGTGCCTTACCCAGAAGGCTTTTGGCCTGGGTTCATCATCATTTCATTTGGGTCTCACCCAGAACTCCTGATTTTGGGCAAGTCACGTGTTCCTTATGAAACGATAACCCTTTTCTCTCTCTCTCTCTCTTCTCTCCCCAGACTATGTCCGAGAGTCACAATGAACTTGCACAATAACAACACAGCGTTGACGTTGTTGCCAAACCTCAGCTCTCTCTGGGTGCCGGGGTCCCCGGGTGCGGGGCTGCCCCCGGGCACAGCCACCGACCCGGGCGGCTACACCGTGTCTCAGGCCTCGGGGAGTCCCTCTCCCGCCAATGGCACCCTCAGCGACCCCCTGGGCGGCCACGCCCTCTGGCAGGTGGTTCTGATCGCGGCCCTCACCGGGGTCATCGCCCTGGTGACCATCATCGGCAACATCCTGGTGATCGTGGCGTTCAAGGTCAACAAGCAGCTGAAGACCGTCAACAACTACTTCCTGCTGAGCCTGGCCTGCGCCGACCTGATCATCGGGGTCTTCTCCATGAACCTGTTCACCACCTACATCATCATGGACCGCTGGGCGCTGGGCAACCTCGCCTGCGACGTCTGGCTCTCCATCGACTACGTGGCCAGCAACGCCTCCGTCATGAACCTGCTGGTGATCAGCTTCGACCGCTACTTCTCCATCACCCGGCCGCTCACCTACCGGGCCAGGAGGACCACCAAGAGGGCCGGCATGATGATCGGCCTGGCCTGGGTCATCTCCTTCGTCCTCTGGGCGCCCGCCATCCTGTTCTGGCAGTACTTCGTGGGCAAGCGCACCGTGCCCCCCGGGGAGTGCTACATCCAGTTCCTCAACGAGCCCACCATCACCTTCGGCACGGCCATCGCCGCCTTCTACATGCCCGTCACCATCATGACCATCCTGTACTGGCGGATCTACAAGGAGACGGAGAAGCGCACCAAGGAGCTGGCCGGGCTGCAGGCCTCGGGCACGGAGGCCGAGACGGAACACTTCGTGCCCGCCGCCACCATGGGCAGCTCCCGGAGCTGCAGCAGCTACGAGCTCCAGCAGCAGGGCCCCGGGGCCCGCTCGGGGCGCCGGCGGTGCGGCGGAGGCTGCTGCGACCTCTGGGTGCCCGCCAAGACCTGGGAGCCCAGCGCCGAGCGCGTGGTGGACCGGGACCACAGCAGCAGCGACAGCTGGAACAACAACGACGCGGCCGCCTCCCTGGAGAACTCGGCGTCCTCCGACGAGGAGGAAGAGGAGGAGGAGGACATGGGCTCCGAGACCAGGGCCATCTACTCCATCGTGCTCAAGCTGCCGGGCCACAGCACCCTGCTCAACTCCGCCACCGCCGCGCCCCCGTCCCCGGACAGCCTGCGGGTGCCCGACCCGGAGCTGGGCGCGGTGGGCACGGCGGCGGAGAGGAAGGCGGGCAAGCTGCAGGCCCAGAGGAGCATGGACGACGGGGCCCGCTTCCCAAAGAGCTTCCCCCCCAAGCTCCCCAGCCAGCTGGAGTCGGCCGCCGAGCCGGCCAAGGCCTCCTCCTCCTCCGACGCCAACTCCTCCTTGGGGAGGACCGGGGCCACGGCCACGCTACCTCTGTCCTTCAAGGAGGCCACCCTGGCCAAGAGGTTTGCCCTCAAGACCCGGAGCCAGATCACCAAGCGGAAGCGCATGTCCCTCATCAAGGAGAAGAAGGCAGCCCAGACGCTCAGCGCCATCCTGCTGGCCTTCATCATCACCTGGACGCCCTACAACATCATGGTCCTGGTGAGCACCTTCTGCGAGAGCTGCATCCCCAAGAGCTACTGGAACCTGGGCTACTGGCTGTGCTACATCAACAGCACCGTGAACCCCGTGTGCTACGCGCTCTGCAACAAGACCTTCCGCACCACCTTCAAGTCGCTGCTGCTCTGCCAGTGTGACCGGAGGCGCCGGCGCCGGCAGCAGTACCAGCAGCGCCAGTCCGTGACCTTCCACCGCTGTGCGCCCGCGCAGGACCTGTAGCGTGAGCCTGGCGCGTGGCCGTGACCTTCCTTCTTCTGCGGGTGTGCGCCCACGCAGGGCGTGTCTGTCGAGTGAGCTTGGTCGATGGCCGTGACCTTCGATGGGTGTGAGCCTGAGCAGAGCAGGGCCTAATACGTGAGCTTGGTCAATGGCCGTGACCTTCCATAGGGGTACACCTGAGCATGACTGTAGAGTGAGCTTGGTCAATGGCCGTGACCTTCCATAAGGGTACACCTGAGCATGACTGTAGAGTGAGCTTGGTCAACGGCCGTGACCTTCCATAGGGGTACACCTGAGCATGACTGTAGAGTGAGCTTGGTCAATGGCCGTGACCTTCCATAAAGGGTACACCTGAGCATGACTGTAGAGTGAGCTTGGTCAATGGCCGTGACCTTCCATAGGGGTACACCTGAGCATGACTGTAGAGTGAGCTTGGTCAATGGCCGTGACCTTCCATAGGGGTACACCTGAGCATGACTGTAGAGTGAGCTTGGTCAATGGCCGTGACCTTCCATAGGGGTACACCTGAGCATGACTGTAGAGTGAGCTTGGTCAATGGCCGTGACCTTCCATAAAGGGTACACCTGAGCATGACTGTAGAGTGAGCTTGGTCAATGGCCGTGACCTTCCATAGGGGTACACCTGAGCATGACTGTAGAGTGAGCTTGGTCAATGGCCGTGACCTTCCATAGGGGTACACCTGAGCATGACTGTAGAGTGAGCTTGGTCAATGGCCGTGACCTTCCATAGGGGTACACCTGAGCATGACTGTAGAGTGAGCTTGGTCAATGGCTGTGACCTTCCATAGGGGTACACCTGAGCATGACTGTAGAGTGAGCTTGGTCAATGGCCGTGACCTTCCATAAAGGGTACACCTGAGCATGACTGTAGAGTGAGCTTGGTCAATGGCCGTGACCTTCCATAGGGGTACACCTGAGCATGACTGTAGAGTGAGCTTGGTCAATGGCCGTGACCTTCCATAGGGGTACACCTGAGCATGACTGTAGAGTGAGCTTGGTCAATGGCCGTGACCTTCCATAGGGGTACACCTGAGCATGACTGTAGAGTGATCTTGGTCGATGGCCGTTACCTTTGATGGGTGTGAGCCTGATCTTGGTCAATGGCCATGACCTTCCACAGGTGTGCACCTGAGCATGACTGTAGAGTGAGCTTGGAAAATGGCCATGACCTTTGATGGGTGTGAACCTGATCTTGGTCAATGGCCATGACCTTCCACAGGTGTGTGCCCAAGCAGGACCTGTAGAGTGAGCTTGGTCAATGGCCGTGACCTTCCACAGGTGTGAGCCTGAGCATGACTGTAGAGTGAGATTGGTCAATGGCCGTGACCATGACCTTCTACAAGTGTGAGCCTGAGCATGACTGTAGAGTGAGCTTAGCCAATGGTCATGACCTTCGATGAGTGTGAGCCTGAGCATGACTGTAGAGTGAGCTTGGTCAATGGTCATGATCTTCGATGGGTGTGAGCCTGAGCAGGAGCTGTAAAGTGAGCTAGGTCAATGGCCATGACCATGACCTTCCACAGGTGTGCACCTGAGCAGGAACTGTAGAATAAGCTTGGTCAATGGTCATGACCAAACACACACACCTGCCCACAGGCCTTCAGAGGGTGTCGTTCAGGGGGAGGCGGGAGGGGGGGAGTGGGGATCAATTCCTGGTAATAATGTTCTTATCACTCAGATGAGAAAGCTGCCTGTTTACTGAATAACCCATTTTAATACAACAAGTCAAATATCAGCTCAGAAAGGAGAAGAAAAAGAAAGCATATTGCTGAATATAAGGAACATGACTCTGAAATAGGCTTCCACGTGTTTTTTCTTCAAGAGGAGAAATGATCGCTTCGTGGCCATTCTGCACCCATGTTTGTGTCTCTTCGTCTCCGTGAGTTCTGGAATCTCGGGTGCACACAGCTGGCTGCCCTTGAGGCCACGTCCTTGACACGGATCCCAACGGCATGGACTCGGATTCCGTGGCGCCTCCGTGGCTCTGAGATGGATTCCCTCCGCAGCTCGGCTGCACCTCCTCTCCCCCGTAGAGCTGTCTGTCTCCTCTCCTCGGTGTGTGTTGTGAAACTCTGTGTGTGGACGTGACTTTTGATCCCTGCAAAGTCCTGTGTGGTGCAGTCCCCCAGTTTTGTACAAATAAACATATCTATATATCAGTGTATGTATATGTGTGAGTGTGTGTGAGTTCCACATATACACACACACACACACACACACACATCCTGTGTATGAGATAGTGGAGATCCTTGAACTGGCAAGTTGTTCCCACCAGACGTGCTTTCAGTAATTGGGTCACTGACGTCCTCCAGACCCTAACTCAACGTCAAGGCGAACCCAACCCAGAGTCCTCGGGTCTGTTTGACAAAAAGGACCCTCCGCAGATCTGGGCCGAGGGGGTCAGCCTGGGGTCATGGTCAAGCACCAGGCAGGACTTGGCCGGACTTGAGTGTCATCCATCTCCTCCTTTGAGATCCTCAGCAGAGCTCACCCCACTGGGGGCCCCTGCGAGCTCAAACCCTGAACCCCAGTCCCGGGTTTGAATTGAATGGCCCCATGCCGAATGGTCCCCACCGAGCTGCTGCTACCTGAGCTCCTTCCCGCTCAAGGACGATGTCACGTGGGAAGGTCATGCCCAGCGGTGTGTGTGGGAAAGCATCACGTGAGGGAGGGCGTCATCCAGGTAAAAATGTTCCCCCTTGGTCCCCTCCTGTGTCCTCACCTGGTGGGCGGGGCTTAGGCAGTCACGTGTCTCCTGCAGAAAGAATGACACTTGGAAAAAGTCAGGTTTCAAATGGATTTTAGAGGGGTGGGGAGGGGGGGAGTTTTGCATTTTTTAAAATGATTTTTGTATTCTTCTCTGAATTGACCAAAATGTTAAATGTTGTATGTGGGCATGGGGGGTAGGGGCGCCACTGTGGGTATCATTTTTGTTGCTGCTATCATTGTCGGGGTTGTGTGGGGAGGGGGGAGGGAGGGGAGGGGAGGGGAGGGGGGTGTACAGGCCTCCGTGAGGAGGGGCGGGGCCAGAGCTGTTTCTGTGTCCCTGTGAGCTGATGTTTACAGGTGACTTTTGACGACCCGTTTGGGGGGTACCTTGTGGTGTCTGTGTTTCTGATCTATTTAATTTTGTGTTCTGTCTCTATGAAGAACTATTTATGCATCCTTCTCCACATGTCCGTTCATGGTGATCAAGGTTACCCTACGGTCTTCAGCTGGGGTGCCTTGACAGGGACTCTCCGAGGCCCCCAAGGCTGGGAAGAGAACTGAGGGTGTCAGCAAGAACCCAACTTGCTCTGGGTAATCAACGTCAGCTGTCACTTCAACATAAAGGTTTCACTCCGCAGTGACGCTTGGCCAGGATTGGACAGAGCCCTCGTCACCCTTGTGTTTGAAATCACAGGACAAAGGGAAAGCAGCAAATCAGTGTTATGGAAAGATTTTTTTTGGGGGGTGGGGGGTTGGCTGGGGGGGGGGCCACATTTAACCAAAGAACAAGAAAAAAAACAGAAACTATTTTCTAACGTGTATAGCCATCCACGGGATGTTATGTTATACCCACCCATGAAGTGTCTCGTGAGTTCCTGCATCTATAGTCCGTGACTCCGGTTGGGCTGGCACTAATAAACATGTGAATGCTACTCCGTGTCTCCCCGTTCTTCTGTGATTTCCGTCCATCTGGGAACTGCCTTTCCTTCAAAGGGCTGTTTCTTGTAGGGAAAAAAAAAAAAAAAAAAAAAAAAAACCAAGATCGACAGTTAGCATTCAATATAAGATTCCATATAAGAAATGGAGAAACCTGCCAGGACCGGTTTGGCTCAATGGATAGAGCGTCGGCTTGGGGACTGAAGGGCCCCGGGTTCGATTCCGGTCAAGGGCATGTGCCTTGGTTGCGGGCATATCCCCAGTAGGGGGTGTGCAAGAGGCAGCTGGTCGATGACTCTCTCTCATTGATGTTTCTAACTCTTTATCTCTCTCCCTTCCTCTCTGTATAAAAATCAATAAAATATATTTTTAAAAAAAAAAAAAGAAATGGAGAAACCCTGAGCTTTGGGAGAATGGCAAAGGTTCATCACAATCCCTTTTCTAAACTATGTCTCTATTGATTTTTTTTTAAATAGTTTATTGATTTTTTTTGTTTTTTTACAGAGAGGGAGGGAGAGGGATAGAGCATTGGAAACATCGATGAGAGAGAAATATTGATTCAGCTGCCTCCTGCACACTCCCCACTGGGGATGTGCCCGCAACCAAGGTCTATGCCCTTGACCAGAATTGAACCTGGGACCCTCCAGTTTGCAGGCTGACGCTCTATTCACTGAGCCAAACCAGTCTTGGCTGATGTTTCTCTCTTATCTGATGTTTCTAACTTTGCACCCCTCCCCCTTCCTCTCTATTATTAAAAAAAAAAAATCAAAATATGTATATATATTTTTTTTTTTTTAATGAATACAGATAAGATTTCCCTAAAGGCAGGAAAGTGTTATTTGCTGCCATCTTGCGTGCATACTTGGGAATAACTCCGTGATGGACATCACTAGAGATACCAGTTTTCTGCGGGCATCTGGCAAAGAACAGCTCAGGGGAGGTCACTCGGGAAAGCTTTTGTCTGCTGCCCTCTAGTGTACATGCCGCCAACAAACTGCAGGTGGAGCATCCTTGAAACTGTAAGCTGAACACCAGCGCAGCCATCAGTGTGTGGAAGGACTGAACTGCTGAAGGAAAAGTATCCCAGTTAGAAAGGTCTAGTTTAACCAGGAAGAGAAACCAAAAGTGTCAGACGTGACTTCCTAGCTGGGCACCACACCTGAGGCAACTACTAACCCCACAGGCAGCTGCCTAACCAGGCTCTATGGCGAGAGGAAGAGCCAGTATCTGGAGAGGCAGGCACAGCAAAGTGGGTCTCCCTTAAATCTGCAAGAGTTGGAAGCAGCCCTAACCGGTTTGGCTCAGTGCATTAGAGCGTCGGCCTGTGGACTCAAGGGTCCCAGGTTCGATTCCAGTCAAGGGCGTGTACCTTGGTTGCGGGCACATACCCGGTGTGTGTGCGGGAGGCAGCTGATGGATGTTTCTAACTCTCTATCCCTCTTCCTCTCTGCAAAAAATCAATAAAATTATTTTTTTTAAAGAGTTGGAAGCAGAGGCAGAGAGACCCCTGCCCAGCCCCTCCCTGACCGATGGGCACGGAGCCCATACCCACTGAGGTCTCCCGTCTTGTCCCCAACACACTCTGGGTATAGATCGTCCTGCTATTAGGACCTTTATTTTAATGAAACCAAGTCATCATTCCCCATCATGATGACCTCTGGTTCATGATTTGCCTTAGTATACGGGTGTGGTAGGAGGGAACATGGCCCCTTGGGCAAAATCTTCATTCTGCCTTGAGACCAGTAGTGGGGGTGGGGAGCAGAGCGGGAGTTTGGCTAAGGGGTAAGGAGAGAACTGGAGACCAATATTTATCTCCTTTGCACACACCTTTGAGAAGGTCATGAGTCAATGGGCGAGGAGAGACCTGCAGGTACATTCTCCCTCCCTCCTTCAGCCCGCTGGGAAGGGCACAGTGGTGGTTGGGGTCTGTGGCCAGGAAGGACCTTGAGCACAATTCTGTATCAAGGCTCTAGCCAGCGTGTGTGGTTACAGCGGCTGCCTGGCAGAAGGAGAAAGATCTGGAGCTGAATTTCCCCTCCCTGTGTTAGCCAGGATGTGATGGGAAGGAGGACATGGAAATAGGAGGAAAGGGGACACAAAGGCCAGCAGAGACCTTGAGATGAGCTATGTGTCGCGACTCCAGCCCAGCATCATCGGGTGGGCAGCTGGCGCCTGCGGAAACGGGCCAGGAGCGGCCCGGATGCCATCTCTCCACCATGAGAGGTAGAGGAGGTGCCTGAGATAAGGGAGGAGCTCCAGGGAGTGCTTGAGGGGATGCCTGGCTAGCGTGCACGGTGCCAGCTGGAGTCTGTGGGCGCTTTGACCAGCTGTGTTCAAGTTGGCGCTTCCCCAGGATCCATTACCTGGGGGGCACCCTCCTAGGTTCCAATTGGACTCCTTCTTGAGATTACTTCCTCTGGACAGGATTCAGAGATCATTACTTGCAAATACACACATTTAAAAAAAAAAAAATATATATATATATATATATATATATATATATATATATATATATATATATATATATACACACACACACACACACACACACACACACACACATATGTTTTATCGTCCTAACTGGTTTGGCTCAGTGGATAGAGCATCAGCCTGCGGACTGAAGGGTCCCAGGTTCGATTCTGGTCAAGGGCATGTACCTTGGTTTCGGGCACATCCCCAGTAGGAGGTGTGCAGGAGGCAGCTGATCGATGTTTCCTTTCTTTTCTTTTTTTTTTTTTTATATATTTTATTGATTTTTCACAGAGAGGAAGAGAGAGGGATAGAGAGTTAGAAACATCAATGAGAGAGAAATATCGATCAGCTGCCTCCTGCACACCCCCTACTGGAGATGTGCCCGCAACCAAGGCGCATGCCCTTGACCGGAATCGAACCTGGGACCCTTCAGTCCGCAGGCTGACGCTCTATCCACTGAACCACACCGGTTTTGGCTGATCGATGTTTCTAACTCTCTATCCCTCTCCCTTTCTTTCTGTAAAAAAAAAAATCAATAAAATATTTTTTAAATATATATTGATTTATAGGGAGAGAGGGAGAGATTGATCAGCTGCTCTACAGTCTCCGCCCCGCACAGACAGCAGGCCCCGCCCTCAGCCCCGCCCCGCAGACCCCGGGACCGCCATTCCGGTGGCGCCACGGAGGGCGCAGCCCCGCCTCCGGGAGGAACCGGGCCGGGAGGGCGGGCCGGGCACCCGGGACCCCGTTCCGCACCGGCCCTCGGGGCCTGGGGGGCGTGACGCGAGGCGGCGGAGGCCTGAGGGGCGGGGCCTGAGGGGCGGGGCCTCTGGACTTCCGCCCCTTTCTCCGGAGCCGGCTCGGCACCGGAAGTTCCGGTGTCGGCCAGCCGGGGTGAGAGGTCAGCAGGAAGTCGATACGTGGCCGCCGCCTGTCCCCGCCGAGGAGGCGCAGCAGCCCGGACATGGCGGCGGTGCTGAGCGCGGAGCGCCTGGAGGTGTCGGTGGACGGCCTGACGCTGAGCCCCGACCCGGAGGAGCGGCCGGGCGCGGAGGGCGCCCCGCTGCTGCCGCCGCCGCGGCCGCCGCCCTCGCCGCCCGGGGCCGGCCGGGGCCCGAGCGCCGCGGGGAGGCAGCCGGAGCCCGGGGCGGCGGCGGGGGGCGCGGCGGAGGAGGCGCGGCGCCTGGAGCAGCGCTGGGGCTTCGGGCTGGAGGAGCTGTACGGCCTGGCGCTGCGCTTCTTCAAAGGTGAGCCGGCCGCCCGCCCGCCATGCCCGCCCGAGCGGGGCGCCGTCCTTGGGGCTCCCGGACTTCGTCCCTCCCCGCTGGGCCGCTGGGTCACCCCGGTTTCGCTGTCCGAGGGCCGCCTCCCCCCGGTGACCGGGCATGTCCCCTGGTTCATTTAGCTTCTCGGGTTTCCGGGAGCTGGGAGGGGGAAGCATGAGCCCGCTCTGCCCCAGAGGACCCCGTTCTGGAATTCACTTATTTATTATTATTATTATTATTATTATTACTTATTTATTTAGCTTCTCGGGTTTCCGGGAGCTGGGAGGGGGAAGCATGAGCCCACTCTCTGCCAGAGGATCCCGTCCTGGAATTCATTTATTTATTATTGTTATTGTTATTGTTTTTATTACTATTGTTAGTGTTGTTTTCTGTCTTACCGTCGCATTTCTTTTTTTATATATAAAGAGTACATGAACTTTTTTTTAATATATTTTATTGATTTTTTTTTTTTTTTTTTTTTTTTTTTTTTTTTTTTTTTTTTTTTTACAGAGAGGAAGAGAGAGTTAGAAACATCGATGAGAGGGAATCATTGATCACCTGCCTCCTGCACACCCCCTACTGGGGATGTGCCCGCAACCAAGGCGCATGCCCTTGACCGGAATCGAACCCGGGACCTTTCAGTCCGCAGGCCGACGCTCTATCCACTGAGCCACACCGGTTTCGGCTTACCGTAGCATTTCTTCCTCTGTCTCTGTGGCGTGGCACGTCACACCCCACCTTTCTGCACCCTTGTCCCCTGCTCCCTTCTCCGGGCGTGGAAGGCGGCCCTCCATTGGGTGCCGCACACCCTTTCCCCCCAGGGGGGGACCACACGCTCCGGGCAGGATTCGATCACCTGGCATTTGATCATCGGCGTGGCCGAGAGGAGGGAAGTGTTCAGCCAGCACATCCCCTCCTCTGGCGGGTCAGACTCCCAAGAGAGAGGATGCTCGCTCTGCCCTGGGAACTTCTAGAAGGTTAAAATGCTACCCCCTTCAAGCAGTGTGCCAAGAGTGGATTCTCAGAGTTAGGTTGAAAAGTGCCCTCCCCTCCCCTCCGCACAGAATTGTGAAATGTCTCGTCTTGGAGCGAGATTGTGGTGTGTGGGTTTGTGTGTTTTTTCATTGGGTGATTCACTGAGTCAAACGGTGGTGATGCCAGTCACATGAGCTTGTCAGTGGGGAAAACGGATGGGAAGCCCGTTAGTCTGATTTCGAGATAGTTCGACTATCTTGTGGGCACGGAGAGTTATCAGCAAATGAAGCTTGAAAAGTGGTTGCTAGGGCCGATACTGGTGTTGCTCAGTGGATAGAGCGTCGGCCTGCGGACTGAAGGGTCCCAGGTTCGATTCCGGTCAAGGGCATGTACCTGGGTTGCAGGCACATCCCCGGTGGGGGGTGTGCAAGAGGCAGCTGGTCAATGTTTCTCTCTCATCGACATTTCTAGCTCTCTATCCCTCTCCCTTCCTCTCTGTAAAAAATCAATAAAATATATATTTTTAAAAAAAGAAAAGTGGTAGGTTCCCCACACATTCCAGAGCAGCGGACTGGAACCCTTTCCCCGAGGTATATGTTTCACTCAACTTCTAGCTGAAGGGGAGCAGCTCGGTGAGCAGTGCATGCATGCAAAAGTTACTGGCTTTGCCGAAGCCGGTGTGGCTCAGTGGGTAGAGCGTCGGCCTGAGGACTGAAGGGTTCTGGGTTCGATTCCGGTCAAGGGCATGTGCCTTAGTTGCGGGCACATCCCCGGTGGGGGATGTGTAGGAGGCAGCTGATGGATGATTCTCTCTCATCGATGTTTCTGGCTCTCTGTCCTTCTCTCTTCCTCTCTGTAAAAAATGAATGAAATATACTTTAAAAAAAAAAAAAAGTTACTGACTTTTTCTCAAAACTGTTTTAATTGTGCAAACTAATGAAAGTCTCTGTCTCTCTCTCGTAAATTTTTCCAGAACAGTTGATCATTCCACACTCATTGCACTTTTTGTTAAGAAATTTACCCTTGAAATACTCGTCGTCATTTGCACAATGAATCAGGCCTTGGATTTTTTATCTCTTGGCCCATGAATGTAGAGTTTCCTGTAGTAATGATACATTCTCACATATATGAAATTCCGATGGTTTCGTTACAATTATTAGTAACTACATCTTACCTTAAGTTTTTATTCGTAGAATGTCATTTTCCAGATTGAGTAAGGTTAAAACAGTGGTCGGCAAAGTGTGGCTCTCCCACAAAATACCACGGCCTGGGCGAGTCTATGTTGAAGAAGTGGCGTTAGAAGAAGTTGGAAGTTTAAAAAATTTGGCTCTCAAAAGAAATGTCAATCGTTGTCTGTCCTGTTGATATTTGACTCTGTGGACTGATGAGTTTGCCGACCACTGGGTTAAAGTATATTGTAGCGGAAGTATGTAAGAATAGAAAAGAACCAACTTCTAATCCTAGCTTTCGCCACTTGACTGAGCTGTCTTAATTTGAAAGTGGTAGTAATATCATCTTTGAAAGATTAAAACACTGTGCAATGTGCGGTAAACAGCATTGCTTTGGAGTCAGGAAGCCTTGGGTTCTATTTACTGTGTAAATTCCTAGACAGTAAACTTTCCTAGACTCAGTTTCCATCCTTTATATAGAGGGAGCTGGCTTTGATGTCTCGGATTTAAGATTTAATGGTCTAAACCCAAGGTTATTTTGCCGAGTAGTAGGACTCGGAAGGGAATCTATCATTTGCGGCCCTAGTTATCAGTCACCTTAAAGGGAAAGGCCTACCCTGCTAGGCATGGTTCACTCCCTAAGTTAGGCTTTCAATGCAGTACCCAATACTTTCTAGAAGGAGAGAGCAGCTAGCAATCAAAACTACCTCTGCCTGCAGCATCACCTACCGTGTTTCCCCGAAAATAAGACCTAGCGCATGGAAAGATAAGACATCCCCTGAAAATAAGACCTAGCGCAACTTTGGGAGAAAAAATTAATATAGGACACTGTCTTATTTTCGGGGAAACAGGGTAGTTAGCAATGAAGAGGCCATCAGGATAGGATGCTGATCGATGATTCTCTCTCCTCGATGTTTCTAACTCTCTATCCCTCTCTCTTCCTCTCTGTAAAAAATCAATAAAATATATATTTTAAAAAAATAAAGAAAGTGCAGATATATGCAAGTTATCATTTCTCCATCTCAATGCAGACCGTGGGGACCCCCTCTCGCGGACAGAGGTCTGTATTAGGTTACCCCTGTAGATGAATAGCGCATTCCCTTTGGCCGTAAGGAATGTAGTTAAAGACCCAGCACAACTGCAGCGCCTGTGAGGGATCGGGGAGCAAATGCCATTTGGGGGGGGGGGGGGCAGCCTGAGTGTCCGGGCAGTGGCCGGAGGAAGTGGTGGGATGGAGAGAGCGGAGAGCGGGAAGGTAAGCTGTCAGGTCTGAGGACCGGTTGGCATGCCATTGCAAAGAGCTTTCCCTTAGTCCACAGGAGGCTCGGTGACCGTTTTACACGGAGGAACCGAGCTGCCCGGTTCTAGGTTAGCAAGGTTAGCTGGTCACCTCCTAAACCGGCTGGCTTTATTGTAGCATCCGTACTTTTTGGCATTAACTTGGGGAGTTGTATTGGTTGTCGGAGTTCTTAGGGGTGAGTGTTTCCTTCTGTACACTTCATTGACCTCATTGCATTAAGCTGGTAGGTGGTGGCATTGATTTAAAATTCCAGAGCAATAAGGGCCACCAGTTACTGAGCAGATGTTCCCTAAAAGTGTGGACACAATCACTTTCTAGAGATTGGCTTCAGATAACCGGAAAAGCCAAGTGTGAGAAAAGCATCTGCTCTGCCTTCCTACGTAACTAACTTTGCTGTCAGGTCTGAAATGTTGATTGTAGTGGGGGGAATCCGCTCGGAAGGACAAGTAAGTGCGCCCATCAAAAATACTGATGTTAAAAAAAAAAAAAATACTGGTGTTGATAGTCTATTCCTATTAATATACTAGTAGGCTTTTCAGGAAGCCTGCATTCCGCTCGCCTAATGATTGTTGTTCACTCGTATAAATTGAAAATGGATGTGTCTTAATTCATTAGGGGTTGAGAAATGATGATATTCTAATTGTCTTTCCTTCACTGTAATACTTTTCCTCGTGTACTATTTGGTTTGGGGTACAGTTCAAATAGGAAAGGAAAGGAAATGCTTCTGCCTCTTTATTTATTTTCTAAATAATGCGCGTCCCTAACCTCAAAAGGTGACTCTTTTTTTAGTATACTTTTATTGATTTCAGAGAGGAAGGGAGGGAGGGGAAGAGAGAGAGATAGACACATCAGTAATGGGAGAGAATCATGGATCGGCTGGCTGCCTCCTTGAACCCACAACCTTTCGGTGTACCAGACAAGGTTCCAACCACTGAGCACATGGCCAGGGCTTTTGTGGCTTTTCTGAGGTCTGGTCTGTTAGATGGGTTTTATTTAATGCCGAGGACTAGAAAGAGATCAACTCGGAATAAAGAAGTGAAAATCGCAGCTATCCAGTGACGGGATAGATTGCTCTGGGACAGTGAATCACTACCACGAGGAAGTGTTCAAGCACGGGTTAGTAATTACTGGGCGGATACGCTTTGATTGCTTTTGTGCATCTACCACAGGTTTTTCCTTGGTGGTTACCATGAGGCTTATATAAAATAGTTTATAGTTCTAGTCTAAGCATATAACTTCCACAGCAGACAGAAACTCCACACTTTTATCTCTCCCTAGCATTTTAGGTTATTGATGTTACAATCTCCATCTTTTTTATACCGCATAGATAGTAACAAATTAAGGTAGATATGTAGGGCAGATTTGAGCTTTGGTTGTGCAATTCAGTCACCTGTCTTTAATTTCCCTCCCAACCCATATATTTTATGGCTTTCATTTCATCAAGTAAAAGCTAGACACAGGGCATTGAAATAATTTGTTGCATCCTTTACCTTTACCTCCAGACAGAAGGGAAAATATGATTTCTCGTAAATGAGGTGTGAGACTAATAACCTTGTGTCTAATTAATTTCAGGTGGAAGGGACTTAATTTTAATCTTTCAGACCTTAGGGCTTGGTAACAATGATTATAAAGCTGCTATCAAGTTACTTATGCTGTCTTATTAGAACTGTAAAGTCAAGTACTTATGAATTAATAGGAACACGATCTAGAAGCCATTTCTATTTTTAATTGCTTGGGAAAACGTGTTTTGTGTATTGTATTGGTTTCCTATTGCTCCTGTCACAAATTACCGAAAATTCGTGTCATAAAACAACTCCTGACTTAGAGTTTGGTGTCAGAAGTTCACAATAGGTCTCACTGGTTAAAGGGGGGTGGTCGGCAGAGCTGTGTTCCTTGAGGCGCTGGGAAAGCGGCTGTTGCCTGGCTCCCTCTGGCCTCTTTGAGGGAAGTAAGATGGGTAACAGCTTCAGGTCTCCCTCAGGCCCTTCTTTCTCTCCTTCCATGGATAAGGACCTTGTGATTACATTGGGCCAAGGCGGGAAAGTCCGGGGTCAGGCAGTTAGTGGCAACCTTAATTCCCCATTTTCATATAATCAGACATATCCACGGAATTGGGATTGGGGTGTAGGCATCCGGGGATGGGGGTGGGGAGGGCTATTATTATGCCTACCACTTGTCATAAAGTCTTCCTGTTCCTGGACCGCAGAATCCTCATCAGTTTCCAGGCATGCTCTTTCGGGGTGTGGGCTCCTCTGATTGGTCAGTGCAGGGCAGGGGTCCTTGGGTATTGCAGTTGGTCCTGGCATTGCCCGCCGGGTGTTACTGCTTTTCTTCCGTCCTGGAGGTGAAATACAGCCAGGCTCTGGGCAGGTGGCCCCTGTATCTGGCAGTCAATTGCTCTGCCAATTTGCTTAGCAATCTATCTCAGTCTCCCTATCCCACTGACCTAGTTTACTGGCCTTATGAATAGACTATTGAAATTTAGCATATTATTAACTCATTTGACCTTTTTACCAAGTGGAACCAAAGCAATTTACAAAGGTCAGGTTTATGAAGGAAGGAAGAGGATCAAATAGTTATTACTCTTGCCAAAACCGGTTTGCTCAGTGGATAGAGCGTCGGCCTGTGGACTGAAAGGTCCCAAGTTCAATTCTGGTCAAGGACATGTACCTTGGTTATGGGTACATCCCCAGTAGGGGGTATGCAGGAGGCAGCTGATTGATGTTTCTCTCTCATCAATGTTTCTAATTCTCTATCTCTCTTCCTTCCTCTCTGTGAAAAATCAATAAAATATATTTTTTAAAAGTTATTACTCTTGGTGTATCAAGACAATGCTCTAACCAACTGAGCTACCCAGCCAGGGCTAGTTATTACTCTTAATAATAATATCTATTACCTCTGAAGTTGCATTGGACCCCTTATTTTATTGGTGAGTCAGAGAGGTTAAACTCTTACACCTAAGTGTCTGAGACGAGATTTAAACCGAGTCTGTCTCCTACCACATCATGTTGCATCAGTGGGCTACAAACGGTTGAATATAGCCTTTCAAAGTACATGTATGGTCTTATTGAAAATGGTTGGTTCAAAATTATTTTTTAAACCTCTTAAAGAATGATTGTTGAACGTGTTTAATATGTATAAAAGATGTCAGTGGTACACTTGTATCTGTGTGCCTGACCATACCTTAACAGACTGGTTTCCCTGGAGTAGTTTTAACATAAATATCGGTACTTGGCTTCATTGTTTTAAAATTCTGCATAAAGGTTGTTAAAATTTAGTATTTGAAAAAAGCCTCACTATGATAGTGTTTCTATCTATCATAGGCAATTTGGACATACCTATGGCAACACTTCAGCAGACAGCTGAAAATTGTGTATTTTTCCAGTGCTAATTATTTTCTTTGTGGGTTTTCTTTTTCTTTTTTCTTACAGAAAAAGATGGCAAAGCATTTCATCCAACTTATGAAGAAAAGCTGAAGCTTGTGGCACTGCATAAGCAGGCTCTTTTGGGCCCATATAATCCAGACACTTGTCCTGAGGTCGGATTCTTTGACGTGCTGGGGAACGACAGGAGGTAACGGTGTTCCGTTGTATAACTAATTTAACGAGAATAGTGTTGAAAACGGCACACAGAGAATTGGTTAAGATGTAAATAGCTGGTTCATTAGCTTAGCACTGAAACAAACATTTTTGCTTGCAGCTTCTGGAGTCCTCAGATGTTTATCTCTTTTTGTCTTGGCGGTGTTTATGGCTAAATATTGTGGAAGAAGCTTACTCATCTGATTATGAACATAAGACAAGTACAGCATCATTTGATTCTTCCTAATATTGATAAAAGCTGCCATTAAAAATATGTATTAATTGGCCAAAACCGGTTTGGCTCTGCGGTAGAGCGTCGGTCTGTGGACTGAAAGGTCCCGGGTTCGATTCTGGTCAAGGGCATGTACATTGGTTGTGAGCACATCCCCAGTAGAGGATGTGCAAGAGGCAGCTGGTCGATGTTTCTCTCTCATCGACATTTCTAGCTCTCTATCCCTCTCCCTTCCTCTCTGTAAGAAAAAATCAATAAAATATATATATTTTTTTTTTTTAAAAAGAAAGAAAAGAAAATATGTAGTAATTGATTTCCTTATCGGAACATATAGAGAGCTGTGACAAAAAGGAATACACTGTTCAATTAAGGCTAAAATATAAGTAAAACTCAGATACGCTTTTGCTCGTACAGAAATGATTAGCAGTGCAGTTAAGTTGTAGTTTAAAAAGTAAGTTTGGATTGTAATGTAGTAAATCAGTACATGCTTGTTGAAACTGGAAGTTCCGCACCTTTTGTGTATAATAGAATTATTCTTTGTTTTCGTTATGATTGAGAATTGTTCATGTTTAAAGTCCCATTCAATGGAGTTCTCATCCTCTCAACAAGAGGAGCTGACTTTCCGCGTTATTCCTTCCAGGAGAGAGTGGGCGGCGCTGGGAAACATGTCCAAAGAGGACGCCATGGTGGAGTTTGTCAAGCTCCTGAACAGGTGCTGCCACCTCTTCTCCACATACGTCACCTCCCACAGGATCGAGAAGGAAGAGCAAGAGAAGAAGAGGTGAGCTGGGTGCCGCTGCTTTGCCGAGTGTTCTAGCTCAGGTGTCCGGCTGCGTCTGGCTGCACAGGGAGGGCAGTTGGCAGGCCTCCTGGTGTGGGCAGACATTCCCGTGTGTGGGGCCTCTGCCTGTCTGGCTGGACCTGTAATGGGAACGGCCTGTCCACCGGGCAGCATTCCTTCTGCCGTTACACCGGATTTCTGAGCAGGCCCATAAACGCAGCCACCCCTCCTGAGCCTCTGGTCTGACACACGCCTGCGGCTCTCTCCCTTGTTTCTAGAATATTCGTACGTCGTATATAAAATGTGTTGGCTGCTTGCTCTTTCCAGCCCATGTTAAGCCTGGCAACATAGCGGTGTGGGCGAGGCTGTCTCTGCCCTTACGCAGCATGTTCCCTCATGGGTCGGGCAGGTGTGTAGCGCTGAATCTGCCACACAGCTTTAATTGCGGTTGCAGGAGTAGTCTGCAGGAAAAGCTGGCGGTGCTGTGAGCATATGTTAGAGGGGAGCCTCCGGGCGTGGGTAGGCACACCGTCATGATTTGAGTAGTATCTTAATGACGGATGCCTTTTCCATCATTATTGCTGCTCAGCAGTAATTATTCTCACCGAGATCGTGTCTGTTGTGTGGTTGATTCTGTGTGTTAAGTGTATGCATTTCGGATCTCGGTACGTGTGGCTTTCTGAAAAGGTTCTGTCCCTGTTCACGGCGAAGTGAAGTCTGAAGTTGCTTTATACAGGGGGTTTGTGTCGAGGACTCACTCTCTGCCTCCTGCACTTGGTAGGAAGGAGGAGGAGGAGCGCAGGCGGCGAGAAGAGGAGGAAAGAGAACGGCTGCAGAAGGAGGAAGAGAAACGCCGGAAAGAGGAGGAGGAGAGGCTCAGGAGGGAGGACGAAGACAGGAGGCGGCTGGAGGAGGAGAGGCTGCGGCTGGAGCAGCAGAAGTAAGCTGGCTGTGCGCTCCCGTGGGAGGGGAGGAACGGACGGTCTCGCTGCTGTGGCCGGACCGTTTGCCAGAGCGTCCAGGGTCCTTCTGGCTCGGCGGCTGGGCGCTGGACCAGCGTTAGCTACTTAGCGTTTACGCCGGCGACGTGTTGCCAGAGGGGGCCTCGTCGTCAGCGGCGTTTGGCTGCGGAAGGAGTGAAGGGGCTGAAAGGGCTTGGGATTCACTCCGGAGCCCAGGGCTGAGGAGCCGAGGTTGCTCGCGTGCTCCTGTGCTCCCTGCCCCTGAGTCCGCGTGATCTCTCGTCCTTGATGTCTCTTTCCCAGCCTTCCTGTTCTCTGCAAACCGCCGCTGTCTGCTTTGGCACCACAGGCCAGGCCGGCCTGGATTTAGGTGGTTTTGTTTTCATGCAACTGCTAGAGAGAGGCTGGCCGGAACCTGAGAGACCCGGTTTCGCATTCCCGGGACAGGGAATGGGGCTGTTTTAGCCTCTGCCCAGTGGCACCGGGCTGGGAGCTGAGACGTTCTGAGTAAGGGCTGGGAGCGAGGCTGTCTCAGGAGCCGCTGCTCTGCAGGGAGCGCCGGGCACAGGAGGAAGGACTGACCCCCACAGGACGCCGGGAAGAAGGCCAGGGTCCTGCAGGTGGCGGGGCACATGGCTTAAACCAAAGGACATGGGAGCCCCGGATTGCTCCTCATTGGTGCTGAGTCATTCCTCAGAAAAGCCTCCAGTCAGCCAGGGCCGCCTCCCGCCTTGAAGAGAGACGGTGGCTACCGCTCTTGGTGGGGCTCGCCGTTGGCTGCCGGAGACGACAGTCCGTCCTCCCAGCATCGTGGTTAGAGGCAGAGCAGAGGCTGGAGCCAGGCTGCCTAGTCTTCAGCGCTGGCTCTGGCATGTGCCAGCAGGGTAACCTCGGGCAAGTTACTGCCGCCTCCATTTCCCCTTCTGTGAAGCCCTCCCCCAGAGGCAGTGCTGAGACCTGCGGGGTCAGTCCAGGGAAGGGCCTTGAACTCTGCCTGGTACGTAGGAAGGGCCCATGACCGTTAATCATCATGCTGGCGATGATGATGATGTGTCTTTTATTCTCTCCCTTCCTCCCAGATTTTCCTTGGAAACCTAAGTAAAAAAATAAGAGAGCATGCTTATTTTCTTAAATTGCTTCTGGGCCTGGGACACATGCTGATGGGCATACATTACTAGCTGAGTCGTTTTGAAGAGGTGTGAATTATAAAAATAAGTAACAAGGGCATTTTATTTTGCCGTGGCCGATCCCCCGTGGCCAGACCGGCGAGTATTTTCTGCTGTTTCCAGGCAGCAGATAATGGCGGCTTTGAACTCGCAGACGGCCGTGCAGTTCCAGCAGTACGCCGCCCAGCAGTACCCGGGCAACTGCGAGCAACAGCAGATCCTGATCCGCCAGCTGCAGGAGCAGCACTATCAGCAGTACATGCAACAGCTGTACCAGGTCCAGCTCGCCCAGCAGCAGGTAGGCGGCCGCCCAGCCTGCGGCCTCGGGGGCGTCCAGTTTCACTGGGCCCTGTTCTTTCTTAGCAAGTCGCTAATTGATTTTGCATTGGCCTCAGGGAGAAAGGAACTTTTAGGTGACCTTTATTAAGGGAGACTTTCGTGTTCCATTGGTAATTTATGAAAGGAAATAGAATCCTCAGCAACAGGTAGTGTGGCCGCTGTCACATTGGCCGAGGTGTGTGTGTGTGGACTGAGTGTCATCCCAGTGAGTCTACGTAGATTCCAGTAGTGGTCCCAGAACCAGGAGGACTTGGTAACTGGCATTAGTTCAAGGATGCCCGTCGGGCAGTGTGCTGCCATAGGCCTGGGCAGCCCCCATGGGGAGGACCCGGCCCTTAAGGCTATTGGCTGGGCCATCTGGACTTTTGTGTAAGTACAGAGGACACATGTAGTGTTAAAACACAGATCAGAATGCATTCCAGGCCGGGACTGGTTTGGCTCAATGGATAGAGCGTCGGCTTGGGGACTGAAGGGTCTCGGGTTCGATTCCTCTCAAGGGCATGTACCTTGGTTGCGGGCATATCCCCAGTAGGGAGTGTGCAAGAGGCAGCTGATCGATGTCACTCTCTCATTGATGTTTCTAACTCTCTATCTCTCTCCCTTCCTCTCTGTACAAAAATCAATAAAATATATTTTTTTTAAAAAGAATGCATTCCAGGGCAGGTGTCTCCTTCATTGGCCTTCCCGGTCAGTGTCTCTCCGCTTTTCTTGACTTGCAGGCGGCATTACAGAAGCAGCAGGAGGTAGCAGTAGCGGGGGCTGCTTCGCCCACATCCGCGAAAATGAATGCGGCTGGACCCAGCGATATGACGTCAGTTAACGGACAGGCCAGAACCCACACTGACAGCTCCGAGAAAGAGCTGGAGCCCGAAGCCGCCGAAGAAGCGCTGGAGAATGGACCAAAAGGTACTGCATCCACATGACCGCAGCCAGACGCCATGACAAGCACAGTCGGGAGGTCAGGCTCACTGGCACCTGAGAGCAAGTACATGTCTGCACGCGCTGCATGCATTTTCTCTGTTCATTGGTCTGCACCTGTGCTTCCGGTGACCCGTAGGAGAATAGTGTGGAGGGCCAATCAGATCTATTCTCATTCTGTATATTGATTATCAGATGCTGTGTGACCAATCACACCCAAATTCAGCAGCTTAAAATCCGAATAAACGTGTCATCTCACGCACTCTGTGTGGGTCCGCTGAGTGTGGTGGGCCTGGTCCCTCCCAAGGCTGGAGTTTGAGGTTCAAATCCTGTGAAGCTTGACCAGGACTAGAAGCTCTGCTTCCAAAATGGCGCCCTCGCTGATGGGCAAGGTCAGGTTGGCCGCGGCCCAGGTCTCAGTTCCTGCCCGGGAGCCTCCCAGAGCTGCTGAGAGTCCGTGCCTGGAGGTGCGCAGAGCTGGCGCGGCAGTGTCTCAGGCCCTGGCTCTGGGAGTGACACACCACGTTTCCCTGCGATCTCTGGGCCCCGGGGACCACCTGCTAGGTTTTGGATGGTGACCTCACAAGGGCGTGAACACCCCGAGGCAAAGCGATGGCGGCCATCCAGGAGGCTGGCCCTCATACACCCCAGGATCTTTTTTTTTTGAGACGGAAGGGCCATGTGAGCCAGAAGATAACGTAGCACTTTGAGGTCTACTGGCTCTCTATGGGCAGCTTGTCCATCGGTCAGCAGTTGGCTGAAGATTCCCTGTGGGTCAGGAGCGCGGGGCTGGGGCGCCCGCACACACGGGTGTAAATTGTGGCTGTTGGGCGCTGTGTGGAGAGGGGTTTGTTAGAGTTTGAGCGCATGTGACATGGGGGCGTGGCCCAGTCAGAGAGGTCACCAGAGCTTTCCTGGGGAAGGGGCCATTGAGCTGAGAAATCTGAAGCAAGAGGAGCATCATCAGCCCAGTAAGAGGGAGAGAGGAGCACTCGGCGACGTGATCTAGGATGGCAGGTCCCCAGACCTTCCTTGTCTTGTAGAATAAATAACGGGAAATGGTATCAGGACAGACTGAAATGCTGTAGCTTACACCACCACCCCCTCTTCTCCCCCCCCCCCCCCCATTAACAGTATATCAATGTTTTTAAATGAATCTTGGTCGAAAGCTCTGTGATGAACTCTGGGAAACCAGTGTGTGTAGAGACTGATCAGCAACAAGCCTTGCCTCCTCTTCACTGGCAGTTCCACTTTGGCCTGAGTTTCTCTCTCTCTGAGTTCCCTGAGGATAACTTCTGGGATTCCGAGATACTGAGGGATGAAGACTTTTTTCAAAGTCCACATCCCTGCAAAAGTGAATTTATTTCTAAGCTCGAATCCTTCTTTTCTAAGTCCAGATTTTTCTTCTTGGATATAGATAGGCTAAAAACTGATCGAGGCCCACCTAGGAAGTTCCCACAGTTAGTTCTAAATCCCCATATGTGATTAGCGTGTTGGGGGAAATCACGTGTAAGATGATGGATCACGTGTCTTATGGAAGCGGTGTGCTGACCTCTGGGTGCCCGTGCCATGGTGCAGGGCAGTGACGGGAGCCCTCCACCCAGGCAGACGGTGTGGCCCGCGGTGCCTGCGTGCGGCCGGGCGGCTGCAGGCTCCGCCCTGCAGCTGTTGTAATCTCTGTTGTCTCCAGACTCTCTTCCAGTAATAGCTGCTCCCTCCATGTGGACGCGCCCCCAGATCAAAGACTTTAAAGAGAAGATCCGGCAGGACGCGGACTCGGTGATCACGGTGGGCCGAGGAGAGGTGGTCACCGTCCGCGTGCCCACCCACGAAGAAGGATCCTATCTCTTCTGGGAATTTGCGACAGACAGTTACGACATTGGGTTTGGGGTGTATTTTGAATGGACAGACTCGCCGAACACGGCTGTCAGCGTGCATGTCAGTGAATCCAGCGATGACGAGGAGGAGGAAGAAGGTAGAGCCATTGGTCCATACTCAGTAGCTGCCGGGTTGTGGGCTGGCAGGGGGACCGCGGACCTCTCCCTACAGCGGTGGGACCTTGGCTGGGAAGGAGGTGAGGGCAGGGCAGCTGCAGCGGGGACTGGTACCTGAACAAGGTGTTCTACTTTCTGGGTAGTATTTGACTTCCAGCCTTGTGTGTGTGACAGCTAATGTGCATCAATCAGCTGCCTCCTGCACACTCCCCACTGGGGATCGAACCCACAACTCGGGCGTATGCCCTCGGCCAGAATCAAACCCGGGACCCTTCAGTCCGCATGTCGATGCTCTACTCACTGAGCCAAAACCAGCTAGGGCAATCAGCGGTTTTCCTGGATCTGTTCATGACTTGTCCCTCTCCTTTCTCACAGAAAACATCACTTCTGAAGAGAAAGCCAAAAAGAACGCCAACAAGCCCGTGCTGGATGAGATTGTGCCTGTGTACCGGCGGGACTGTCACGAGGAGGTGTACGCCGGCAGCCACCAGTACCCAGGGAGAGGAGTCTACCTCCTCAAGTTTGACAACTCCTACTCTTTGTGGAGGTCAAAGTCAGTCTACTACAGAGTCTACTATACGAGATAAAGATGTCGCTGCAGAGTCTGGGCAGAAGGGTTGGGCAGAAGATGGCATTTAGTTGGGATGTTTCTTTGGACTTTCGTGGAGCATTGCGGTCGGTGTGTGCCCGTTGGTTGTGGTCTGATGGTTTGTGAACTCTCGTTGGGGATCAGAACTCTCTGGAGACTCTTGAGCGTTAATACTTTGGGGTCAAAGGGATTCCTCAGACTTACCCAGCTGTTAGGTGCCGGCCAGCTGCATCCCTAGAGGATGCTGAAGTTCCACGAGCTGCGTGTTAAATCTAAAGTCTCCAGAGCAAACACCCCAAGGTGGGGCCCCTGGGTTAGTCCCCTGCTCCCTGCTCGATGTCCCCACAGTCACCGCGCCCTCTCGGGAAATCCTCTGTTCGTGTTCCACGTGAGGCACACAGCTTGGAAAGTCACCATTTTTAAAACTTAAAAACTTGAGACCTCACAGATTATAATAGGAAATAATTGCTTCGATCCGACGTGGTTGTGAATGGCCCAGATTGGTTTTTGCTTTGGCAACAGCTATTCAGTTCAGAGTTACATTACACACAGGGAGTTATTTTCTAAGATAATCTTAAAACAGAATGTCCAAACCTGATTGCTGATCAAAGTATCAGTACACATAGACCACCTCAGACACCCCCCCCCCCCCACAGCTCGTGGGGTGTCTATATGCTGTGGCAGACTAAAAGGAACTCATTTTCGTCTTGATTTGGCTTTATATCAGAGCATCTCAGATTGAAACTGTTTTCTACACAGGCATATAGTTAACGTAAACCGTTTTATAAACTCATATTGCCACCTTCTGAATTAAAAATACATGAAGTCATTTCAGTATCATTCAGTGTATGAAGAATAACATTGCACTAATGCGGACATCACTGCCAGACACGGTCCATCTTTAATTTGTTACTACTTCGGCACAAACCCTCCATGACTTCCGTTTGGAATTCCTAGAGAAGTGGAAGTGCATATGCCCACGCTTCAACTCCTGACGGCTTTAACCTGTATTATGTCTTTATTGATGGGAAGAAGTACACCTTTGTTTTCTCCACTGAAAACAAACGTAGGTCAATTAATTGCCTCCAATATATATATATACGTGATTGACTAGCGTAGAGATTCTTGTTTTCAAAAGGACGGGTCGTACAGATAGCAGATGACAGCGACGGCAATACACACATGGAATGTTACTACATGTTGTTACTGAAATACTTGGGTTTTCTTACCTGTCAGATCACAGTCACCTCTGTGGGAGGGTCCCCTGCGCTGGTCACGTGCACTACGTCAGGAAGGGGCTGCTGGTTTTGCGTGCTGCGTTCTTTCTGGGTTTTTTTTTTAATACCTGGTTTTGTACATACCTGACTGTTCTCTTTGTTTGGAAACTGGATTATTTTTCCTAAGAAGTGCTCACCCTGTGTGTTTTCCGTTCCGATCAGTTACAGCTCTCAGACATCCACGCTGTTACATTAGGAGCACTGTCCGCTGTCTGTCCGTCAGCTCTCGTGTACATACGTACGGGCTAGAAACCATGGGGTTAGGCACTTCCGGGCTGTTTTGTTGTGTTTTGTTTTGTTTTGTTTTTTTTTTAACGAGAAAATACTGTATTTAAAATGTAAAATAAACTTTTAAAAAGCAGGCACTAATATAATATTTCTTCCAGCCTTTGATTACAGACCTGTCCTCGCACACGTTAAGATGAATTATCCCCTAGAAATGCCATTTTTCTCGGGAGCGGTGCGTGTGGCTTCACGTAGCGGCGGTTCCGGTCACGTGTCCGTGCCAGGACCTTTTGGGTTTCAACTTTTATATTGCCTTTGGCTGTGGATCAGTACAGGTCAAACGCGATTTCAAAGAGATCTTGAAAATATATATATATATTTAATCAATTAAAATGTTTATCTGTAACTCGTTGACGTTTCATTGATAAGTTCCTCTCTGAAGCGTTAGTTCTGCATCTCATCCCTTGGTAGGACGAGAAGAAACGTTTTAAATGATCTTTTCTGGCTTAAAAAGTTAAGAAAACGAGCACACTATTTCTGGCTGGTTATTTAAGTTTTGCTATGAATTAACCTCATGAGTTAAACAGATGGAAAATGTCCGGGCTTGTTGGTGTGAAGGAAAGCACTGGCTTCTGTGAGACGCCTTCCCCTGCCCATCTGTGGGTGGCAGGTCCTTGGCGGCCGCTTTAAAGGGCTCCTGAGCATGGCACCGAGGAGCATGCCTACCCCGCTGGCATGCAGGGGCTCAGACACTGATTTTTTTTTTTTTTTTTCTCCTGAGATTTGGAGGCAGAATGAGAATTTCTGTGCTGGGGACCCTGAAGGCAGACCAGAGAACGTGCGGGAAGCAGGGCTAGGGAGCGCATTGTGGAAGCCGGGCTGCCCACACTGAGCCACAGTCAGGGCAGCGGGGAAGCTGCCAGTTCAGACCACAGCGATGGATCGCCAGTCACGTCTTGGGGCTCAGCGTGCCACAGTCTGCAGCCAACGCCAGCTCTGCGGCCGTCCCAGCTTCCGCTCAGTTCAGCCTTCCCGCCAGCAACCTAAGGCGTGCGTGCGTGTCTGTCTGCTGGGGGGGAGGCGATCTGCAGTCCCTTTGCCGACTTCTCCGTGTGGGTGGGACTCGCATGGGGCTCCTCTCGCATAGATGGGCCGAGGGTCCTTCCTCTTCCTTCGTGAAAGCTCTGAAAAGACCTGGATGCTTGCTGTCCTTTCTAACCCCTTCTTTTGACTGCGCTGTTCTTATTTCTGATGCTTGTTTGGCTTGGCCTGTTTGTCATGGGAGAGGAGAGCACTAGTGGACCTGCCACTTGTAAGTTGTGATGTCATTGGGGCACTTAATTCCGTGCCAGGAAACCAAGTGGCTGGCTTTCCCAGGTTGGCATTGGCATTGGGACTGGGGCTGTCAGGCATGGGGTGCGGGGGTATAAGTTGGAGCGGTTAGCTCATCTCATGGCCATAACCAAAGCTTCCAGGTGACTGCTGGGTCAGCCCTCCAGTGAATGGCGGCTGCACGGTCTGTTTTTGAAAAGAGCAAATACAAACAAGATCGATTGCGCATGCTGCGTTTTAAAGATCTTTACCTGATGGCTTGTCTATACAATTACAACAGTCTCTACTCTTGGCCAAGATTAAATATCTCCAGTTGTAGGTACACACAGCTGGGGGGGAGGGGTGCATGACAAGGTACAGAAATGGAAACAGGATTCAGAAGGCGGGTCCAGGTTGTGCTGGAGAATGTTTTCCTGTGAGTCTAGTCTGCTGTGTTCTTCAAAATGCCGTCCCCTGCGGAGCGGCTCTTTGGCTGGTTTCCTGTTTGTGAACATCTTAGGCTGCTTCTGGGTTGGTTTGTTGTGGGGTTTTTTGTTTGTTTGTTTGTTTCTAATGATTTTATTGGTTTCAGAGAGAGGAAAGGTGAGGGAGGGAAAGGTGGAAACATCCATGAGAAAGAAGCACGGATCGCCTGCCTCCTGCATGCCTCCAGCCTGCCCTCTGGTTTCCTGGGCGCCTCTGGGCTCCCCCTCCGCCACCACCCCCGCTCCCGCTGCCCCACCTGTCAGCTATGTGCCCTCCCCGCCCTGTGCCAGCGGAGACGCCCCTGATTTAGGGCTTCCTGTTGCCACCCTCCGGGCAGGCTGAAGGAGGTTGTGTGTGAACGCCTTTGGCAACCAGGAGGTAGCCAGCAGTGTCAGGTCCCCGGATCCGGGAGGGGGAGGCCCCTGGCGTGGCCCCGGACCCGTGGCGAGGGGGCGGCCACACCTGGGCCCCTGGGAACGTGGACACAGGATTGGGACACAGGGCGTTTTCCTCCGCTTGCGCCCTGTTCTCGGACTAGCCAGGGGGCCAGCGCTCGCCGCTCAGCCTCTGCACGCCCAGTGCCCCCCGAAGGTGAAGCCGGAGCGGGTGGCTCCCTAAGGGGGTGGCGTCTCCCCAGAGCCGGAAGCAGGTGAGCGGACTTTGGCACCGGGAGGGGTGAGGTGCGGAGATAAGCTGGCCCTTCCAGCCTGGCTGGGCCTGAGCAGACCCCCTGCCCGGCTGCCAGGGGAGGGGCTGCGGGTACAGGGCACAGGGGCGTCTGCCCTCAGCCCGGGTGCTGTCCGTGGGCGCGGCTGTCCCCGGGCGCCCCCAGGGCCTCTGCAGCACCCAGCGAACATTCCTCGTCACCCGCTCTCCCCGTGTCAGACCAGGAGCCGCACGGCCAGGCTAACCCCCAGGCGGCCAGGAGGAGGTCATGCCAGACCTGAAAGCGGTGACGGCGGGCACGGTGTGTGCCGAGGCCGACCGGCCGCTCAGCTGCACGGGGGGGGGACCAGGAAAGGCTTCTCGATGGGGAGGTTTTGCCTGAGGCCTGAGTGATGAGCCAGAACCTTCGGGGAGGGGACAGCATGTGTGCGAAAGCCCCCGCCATCGGGCACATGTTGTCTGTGTGTGAAGATGCCAGTGAACTGGAGGGGAGCTGGCGGAGCATGGGGTGGAGGACGGAGAAGCAGGGACAAGGCAGGACCAAGGGACTTAGGTTCTAGGCAGGCCCAGTGGAAGCGATGGCGGGAAGGCCTCCACCGAGGACTGACCCCGTCTGGCTTCGTCTCAGAAAGATGTGCGGGGAGCCGTGGGGAGTGGGGGAGCAGGAGGGAGGCCCCGGCAGTGTCCGGGGATCAGCGGGGTGCAGGAAAGACGGGGTTTTTCCTGTTTGCCTTCTTACTTTTTTTAAGACAAAAAGGTGTAAAGGAAACAGCTGAGAACTGGGGCTCTGGCTGTCGCCATCCTCGGCCTCCAGGGGGCGCCGGAGAGACGAGGGGCGCCCGCAGGTGCTGCTGCAGCTGCTGGTGCAGTAAACACGCCTGCGGGCAGCCCGTGCTCCGCCGCCTCCGCCCCTCACCCGCTGGGGCCCCCGCCCCAGCCCCCGGGACCCTCCTGGAGCCCTGGAACCTTACCCAGCCCTCAGACTGCCCTCTGCCTGGTCCCTGCCCGGCTGCCCTTCTCCCCGGGGGGGAGC